CTTTCTTATTTCTGTAGAACACGAAAGGAGATGTTTTGAAGAATGTTCCTGATGAACTTTACCAAAGAAGAAAAAAATACAGACAGACATAAATAAAATTTGAAGCAGTAGTCAATGCGATTTGTAGTACAATAGATTTGTCTGTGGAACAAATTGAAATTTCAGCCATTATTTAATGAAAACATCAGCCATAGCTTTCAAATATTAATCATGTTAAATCAATTTAAATATGTGAACAAAATATGTGTATTTTTAAATATACTTCAAAATAATGGGCAAAAATATATATTTGCTAAAACATGTTTCGAAATATATTTATGTAAACATATTTTTTCTACAATTATATTTATGGCTTTTGTTGTTAATTTTGGAAAAAAAAAAAAACATTTAAAAAACTTTATTTGTTGTCTGTAACACATGAACTTAACATGTTTGAATAAAACATACTTTACAATGTACAAAAAAATACAACATTACAATATATTAAAAACAAATATTATTACTGCATTATTATTAATCTACTGATCTATATACTGTAAGATTGGAAATGTATTTGCTTGCCCCTGAAATACATTTTGAAAAACATTTTGGTACGTGAAGATTAAAACTAAATATATTTTCAGTTTCAAAAAATATTTAATTGAGCCACATTGTTTAGAGCATATATTTAAAATGCATGAGTATATATGTATGTATTTATTTATTGGCTGTATGGGATATGATTGGTTCTCACATGTCTCATAACATAAAATGGATTACATGTTCTAGATGTCATTGGGTCTGATATTTGTGTAGCTTCACAAGAAAATAATTTGCTATATTATAAACAGAGATTAAACTAGATGGAAAGCAATGTTCAGACAGCTCAGATAATTGTCTACCTGCAGTCCTCAGCGTGAAAATGCACAGGCTCTTCATACTGCTCAGAGACTCATCTGAGCTCCAAGATTTATCATGCAATCTGTGAGACATTTCCCATCAAGCCCATATGACGTTCATGTCCTTTCTGACGCGTGATCTTCTCCTTCTGAGACCCCAAATTACCTAGCAACCCTCCTTTCCTCTCGATCGCTACGGCGACCTGATACTCTGCCGAGCAGATGGTGTGAGAGTGTGGACGAGGAAGCAGACTGAACACATCTGCTGATCACCGACCACAGCTACATGCTCAATGACAAAAACCCTAAAGCTTGTTGCATACGTTTAGTAAAGTCCACTGCTTAACTATGGAAACACCTTTCTGCCACAGGGAGACAGACAGACAGACAAATAAACAAACAAACAAAAATAAATAAATGAGAATTTAAATCGAAATTGAGCAAACTTGCAATAGCAAGAAAAAGCATTGAGATCATTTTATTTATTTATAATTTTTTAACTTTTCCCCCCATATTTAACAGTGACGTTCCATTCAATGCCATTCAATTTCTAGAAAATCCTCATTCAAAAAGTTTGCAACTTTATGAAATGTCTTTGTTGAAAATGATTGAGAAATATACTTTCAGAACCAAGACCACTGAAATAGTAGTGTAGTAGCAGTAACCACTTTTCTTTTCTTTTCTTTACATTTTATTTTATATTATTTGTCCCTTTTTTTATTGTATTCCTTCATTTTCTTGATTTTTTTTTCTTTTTTTTTCTTGTATTATTTTATTATTATTTTTATTATTATTATTTTTTTTTTTGCTTTCATTGTTCTTTTAACGTCCATTGAGTTTAAATAATTATAAATAGGTAAAGCATTTTATGTTTTGCCTTTAATAAGTCTTTGCAGTACATCCCTGCTAGGATAAAAATGCTTTTTGTATTAATCATCTAAAAGTGTGGTTAGGATCACTGCAGAATGGACTAATCTTAGACTCATTCTGCTGTCTAGTGCTGTAACCTTCACAGAGTCTGGAGGAATATGAACTCTAATTAAACACTGACCAGTGACCTGCAGTGACTCTGAGAACATTTTGACCATTTACTCATTTACTGGTTCTGCACTTCGCTCTGCTGGTGCGGATCTGAGCATCGTATTTGGACTCTGCTGTCAGTGTGTGTGTGGTTTGGTCGGCTGATGGTGTGTTGTTGAGTAATATCAGCAGGAGTTGAGTTCGATTAAACAGCACTCTCATTCAGCATGGTGCCTTATGATGTCAGCATCATGTCCCAGTTTGTAATTTGTACATTTTGTCTTGTGAAAGGTTTTTGACCTGACTGATTTATTGTGGACACAGGTGTCCTAAAAAAGCAATCACAGCTTTGGTTTATCACATGAACGCGACTGGAATTCTCACAAATTTTCATGATCCACTAACCATGTTGTTTCATGTGTTTGTTTAAATGACGCTTTAATCATTTTTATATACTATTGTATTAACGTGAATATAACTACTTATTTAACTACTTTAATTATCATTTCTTCTTCACAATACGACTATGTAATACCACAGCACTCTCAAGCTAAATATGGCTGCTTTAGTAATGTTTTGTGTGTTATGTTTTTCTTATAAGAAGTGATTCATATGGTATATAAGGAGCAGGAACGTGTTCTGCTCTGTGACCCTGCGACTATGTTACGTGTGACAATACATAACCAGTACATTCATTACTCACACTGCATTCATTAAGAGTGGCCTTATTATGCCTGAGTACCATTTGGTTCATAGTTCATACAGGAAACTAATGACTTGTAAAAGATGGACATAATAGTTTAGAGTTTTATCAGCCGTTGCATATCATGTAAATAAATTAATGTTAGTTGATCCATGCAGAAAAAAAAGTACTTGATTTTGATTTTGACTCAATACTGAGCACGTAGTTATAGTTGGCTAAAACTAAAACTATAAAATCAATTCCTAAATAAACTGAAATAAAATATAACTCAGCTATTTCAGCTATTTTCCCATACAACAATGCTCATTTCATTTAACTTGATAGACTAAAATTACTAAAAATTTAAATAAATAAATCAAAAATAAAAATGATATAGGCTTATTTTTCAATAAGAATATTAATAAAAACACCATCAAATTACTAAAACTATAACATATCAGTGATACTTTAATAACACTCCCTGACTGATGTGTCATACAATTCTGAATTTTATTCTGTGTGTTGTATTTTATTCTTAATGAAGCTTATGAGACCTAATTGAGTTCTTAATTCAGTTTAGTTTGACTTTTTCCCATATGTTTCTCCTAAGATTCCTTTGGAGAAAAAACACACACACACACACACACACACACTCACTCACACACTCACTCACTCACTC